ATGGTTTGGAAGTCATTCTTCTGTTAAGGCAACCCAAAATAGCATTTGCCCTTTTGGCGGCTGCATCGCATAGTTGGCTCATATTTAGCCTATTGTCCACAATTACTCCGAGATCTGTTTCTTTTTCAGTTCTGTTGAGCCACATATTCCCCGTCTTCTATTGATGCATTTGGCTTCTTTTTCTTAGATGGAGGACTTGGCACTTGTCCCTGCTGAATCTCATTCTGTTGCTTTCAGCCCAGCATTCAAGTTTATGAAGAACGCCCTTATCTTCATTCTGTTAGGATGTTTGCTATTCCACCCAGTTTTCAATTGTCTGCAAATTTGATTATATTTCCTCATACCCCTCATCTAAATCACTAATAAAGATGTTGAAGAGCACTGGACCTAGGACTAAACCCTGCGGGAACCCACTAGTTACCTCTCTCCAGCTTGAGAAGGTGCCACAGATGAGCACTCTGTGTCCAATTTAGCAGCCAAGTTTGGATCCACCTAATAATATTTCTATTTAGTCCACTTTTAGCTAATTTGATTATCAGAATGTCGTGAGGCACTATTGCTAAAGTCAAGGTCAATTATGTCCACAATGTTCCCTCTGTCCCTTTGGGAGATTACTAACCCAAAAAAAGAGACTAAATTAGGCCGACAGGCTTTATTTTTTATAAATCCATGTCGGCTTTTATTGATCACTGCATTTTCTTCAAGGTGCATCCTCTGTGCCATCTCTCAGTCCAATACTGACCCAAGGAAAAGGGTGCTTCTGAACTCATGTGCCACCCATGAAGCCAACTTTCCTCCCTGCCACCCAGGAAGCCAACGCCGGCTTCCCTGCCTCTGGGATTCCGAGCAGCATCGGCTGCTGCAAGGCAGGCGTGGGCTCAGAGCCCACCCAAGGCTCTCTGCTGCTTAGGCAGCAGCAAAACACACCCTCCTCTGTCCGAGGTGCACAATGCCCAAGGGGTGTCAAGTTATTTTGGCTCCTGAGGTGGAAAATCCTGCAAGCACCACTCCCTCCCTGAGTCAGCACAAGACAGCCATCACCAATCGCATAACTGGCCAACCTGTTGCCCCCAGATCAGCAGCCTGGGGGAGGCAAGCCTTGCCCCGCTTACGGTTTTTAGACCTTTCCTGGCTTGACAGCGTAGTCTATCGCCTTGACAACCCCTAGGAAAGCAGCTGACACCATGCAGAGTGCGTATAGGTGCGTTGTGACGGGGAGAGCTTACGGCTGATGACATAAGCAGAATCCACTTAAATATTAATAAGTCTGCTTTTTGTTGCTGGGGGGCGGGGAGATAAAGAGCTACTCTTTCGGCATGTGATCGCAGATGCGAACTATTTGGCGGAACGAAGACAAGGACGCTCCCTCTTCCCCTGGCTCCCGTCCCCTGGCGGGACCACTGGGGAATTCTGCAGAGTCGAGGCCCACGCTTGCCCGAAGCGGCTCCGACCCTTCCAGGCGAAGGGGGCAAGCGTCAATTCGGGACTTCCCGCATGCGAAGGATGGGCTCTGCCCCGGACAGCAGCCCGCAGCACGTGAGGCGAGAGGGAGCCCACCCGTCTGCAGCGGCTTCTTCCATGCGGCAGCTGCAAACCTCTCCCTCGGCCGCTCTCTCGCCCTCGGGAGCGTTTTCTCAATGGAAGCCGCTCCTCGCCCCTCCCCGCCAGGCGCTTGCCGGTCAGCGTGTGCGTATGTGGAGGACGTGCTCTCGCTGCGAGGGCGTCACGCCACCCTCAAGTACAGAATTCTGCGCGTGTATTGGAACCCCTCCGCCCTCTCCACCACGCATGCTCCAGAGAGGATTCCCTCTCTCTCTCTCTCTCTCTCTCTCTCTCTCTCTCTCTCTCTCTCTCTCTCTCTCTCTCTCTCTCTCTCTCTCTGCCCCACCCTCGTTCGCAATTGACAAGTTTTTGCTGCTCGCGATGCGCTACTTCTCAATGAGAAGCCACCAAGCCTCTGTGGAGCAAGTCCATGCTCTTGCAGAAATATAGCAGACAAGGGAGCAAGCAGAAAGGAAATAAATGGTAGGCAAAGAATAAAGTTCAGCCTAAAGCCAAACCGTATGTAGAGCAACGCAGACACTTTTTTTAAAAAATTGTAAATTTAAAAAATTGAATCCAACGTTATAAACTAGGACATATATTTAGGTCACAGTCTTTGGAGAGCCCTCTATTTTGCCTGTTTCAGTTACTGTTTCCATCAGAGTTTATGCCATCTGATTGCCAGACATGGAGCGTCTCCTCCTACCTACATTCAACAATAACTGCAGTAAATCGATTTATATCAGTAGGACTGCAGCACCCAGCTGTTTCTACCAGCAGCCCCGAAATCAAATTCCACGTGTCTACCTTAGATAAGGCGGTCTCATTTGATAAACACACTGTTTAAAGCTTTCGCTTTGGACCTTTCCTGAAATATATAAAACATATAAAAACAGAAACGGTCCTATTCCTTCTGTTCTAGCTGGCACGTGGGCAGCTGATGTAGACTGAGTCAGACCCTAGTTCCATTTAGACCAGTATTGCCCACAATGGCTAGCAGTGGTTTTCCAGGCTTTCAGGAAGGAGTCTTTCCTGGAGAAGCTTGGTAATGGGCCCGGGACTTTCTGCATATCCCCGAGCCAGACACCTTCGAATTAACAGATCTCAAACTCACTGGGGTAGTTCCCAGAAAAGAACTCTGCACATGCTCAAATGAACCGTTTGTGTGAGACAATTTCATCCGTTCCAGTGCTGAACTATGGCACCAAGCACCGTTTCCAGGGGGCCGAGACTTGTGGAAAAGAGACTCCCCCCGTCAAGGTGCTTTTAAAATCCAGTCGCACTCGGGAGCTCGCTGTGAGCTAGCTAGGCTGCCGCTGAGAAGGGCTGACATCTCATTCATAAATTTCCGAAATCGCTTTCATTCACATCCCTGTCGAAGACGTTTTTCACGTGCGGAGACAGATCCATGGCTTCAGGTTCCCCAGCATTTTGCGTAGGCATTGATTTAGCCCTGAAATGTGCTCAGCCACGTGTGTGTAAAAATAGCTCCACGTCAGTCCGTCTCAGTGGATGCGGTCGGATTTTCGTCTCGCAGCAGGAGGCGGCACGGCAGCCGCGTGAGTCTGCCGCTCCTTCATCTTAATCGGACCTTGGGACCCGCACATTTCCAGGGGAAGGGAACCACGTGCGCAGCCGCTTCGGGGGAGCCTCCAGTGGAAAAGGCGGCTGGCACGGAAGCTCACCCCGTCTCTGTGAGTCTACATTATGGCCAACACTGTGGATCTGCGCGGTGGTGGAAAACCGGTACCCTACTTCTTTGCCATTCAAATTCCTGTCCTTCTAGGGAAAGGATGCGGTTATATTCTGAGCTCCAGCAAGCCAGTTAAAACGATCCTCCATACGCGATGAATTATTCTTGATGAGTAGGAGAAAGCAAGTACGCTACAATTCTGGACTCCAAGGCCACTCACACGTACTCGGCAGTAAATCCCACTGAAGTCACTGGCCATCAAGGCTTAGGCTATAAGAGGGATTCCCCGCTGAAGGAATGCATCCATCACCGCGTCTCCTGCTCTGACGTATGCAGTCACAGAGAGTAACATTACAGTAAGGAAAATAAACATCTCCAGTCAATCCCCCCGACTCCCAAACAAGCTGTGCACCTTGCACTCCCCTCCCCGTCTTAAACAACCCGGGCTTTCGCTACGTTAATTAAAAAGAGTGGTTAGAATCGCAGCCTTACTGGGAAGTACGTTCCATTGGCATCAGCCAGGTCCATTTCTCTGGAACTGCATTTAGAATCGGGGCGTAGAATTAAGGGCTCTCACGTTTTCCTCTGAAATCTATCAGACGCTTTATGATTTCAGCAGAAGGACGCGAGTCTTCTGTATTTGCATTTGCTGACGAACATATGCACAGAAGCCACATCGCATATCCTCAAACAAAGAGCCACGTGGTTACTCATCTTTCTCACACAAGGAACCTCTTTTTATAATTGTGTCTCCTTCACTCGCATTTAAAAAATTATGTCTCTCTCACAGAACTCCAAAATTTAATTATGAATCTAGCGACAATCAATGGCTGCTGAGCAGCATCTATCACGGAGTTTGCATTTCTTAATGGAAGCCCTGGAATGCGTCGAAATTGCCGTTCTCGAGCCATTAAACTACAATAATGCCGCGGTGTGACTTCCCTGTACTATTTAGGCTCCCGCTTTGTGACGGGGGCCGGAGGAGAGGGCGCTTTTGACCGCACAGCTTCACCCATCCCTTGCGTGTCCCCCTCCCCAACCCTTCATTCATTCCGCTGCACACACTCCAAGGAAGATCGAGTGTCGGCGTGATCGCCTCCAGAAGCAGAGGAGATGCTTCTCTCTCTCTTGCTCCGCCACCGGCTTTCGCTCTGCCTCCTCCGCCTCCTCCCCTCCCGCGGCTCACGCGTCCTCCCTCCCCGCCCTGCCTTTTCAGTGGTCGGCCGGCTGGGTTACGCAGCAGCCGCCGAGCAGGAGCGGCAGTTAGCAGAGCGCTTGACGTGCATCTCCAGAGAAACAGCGGCAGCCCCTTTGAGCAACTGGGAAGACAGGCGGGAGAAGCCCCGCAGGAGCCACCTAGAGGGGGCAGGAAGGGCGCGAGAACCGGAGCGGAATCGAGCAACGAGGCGGGGAGCCCGCGAGGTCGGGGTCGGAAGGGGAGAGCAAGGGAGCCGGAGCGGGGAGCCGCAAGGGAGGACCGGGCAAGGCGGGGGGACGGATGGCCGCGCGCGGTGGGTCCCGCCGGGCTCTCCTGGTTTCCGGGGGGCGGCGAGGAGCCCTGGGCACCTCCCGATGACAGCACGTGGCGAGTGACTTTCCACCCTGCGCTCGTTCTTTCTTGGGACTTCGATCGGAACAAGTGCGGCGGGTCCCTCTGCTCCTTGCTTCCCTTATGCTAACCGAGCTTGCGGCATGAGGTAGAAGAAGCACCAGAAGTTTGCGAAGGGAGGCCCTTTTTCCGGGGTGGTGGGAAGACAGAGAAGCCATGTCAGCCCCCGCCAGTTTGGACTTCGCGGCAGTGGAAAGTTTCCTAGACAGGCACCCGGAGCTGGTAGAGAAGTGGCTGAAGAGGAGAAAGTCTCCCCTCGGCAAAGCGGATCCCGCTTCTGGTGGCGGCGGGGCAGAAGGGCGCCCGAACAGCCGTGCCAACGGCGCCGCCTCGCCTGGGGGCGGCTCTCCCGGCGGCCGGGGTGCAGGCCAAGCGGGCCTGGAGGCGGCGGCCGGCGGGCTGCAGCGGCGGGCGTCGCAGAAGGAGCTGAGGAAAAGTTTCGCGCGCTCCAAGGCCATCCACGTGAACCTGACCTACGACGAGCACGTCCATGCCCGGGCTCAGGAGCCGCTGAGCAGCGCCAGGCGGCGGGCGCTGCTGAGGAAGGCCAGCTCGCTGCCGCCCACCACGGCGCACATCCTCAGCGCGCTGCTGGAGTCGCGGGTCAACCTCCCCCAGTACCCGCCCACCGCCCTGGACTACAAGCGCCACCTCAAGGAGCACAACGAGCGGCAGTTTTTCTTGGAGCTCGTTAAGGACATCTCCAACGACTTGGACCTGGGCGCCCTCAGCTACAAGATCCTCATCTTCGTCTGCCTCATGGTGGACGCCGACCGGGGTTCCCTTTTCCTGGTGGAAGGCGCAGGCGGCGGCGGCGGCAAGAAGAGCCTGGTCTCCAAGGTCTTCGACGTGCACGCCGGCACCCCCTTGCTGCCTTGCTACAGCACCGAGAACTCGAACGAGGTGCAGGTGCCCTGGGGCAAAGGCATCATCGGCTACGTGGCCGAGCACGGCGAGACCGTCAACATCGCCGACGCGTACCAGGTAGGGCTCGGCAGAGGCCGCGCGCTCCGCGAGCACGCTGGGCTTCACTGGCCCGTCCCCGGGGCGGCTTGCGTTGCAAGCCAGAAAAATGGCCCTCGCTACAATCCTAGCAGAATCAATTTTACGGAGCCAACTTATAAAGCCAGTTAGTTAAAGACAATCTCACCCTAGGTTCATTCAGTGTTTAGCAGCATGAGAAGAGCCCTATCCCAGATTTCCTATTTGGTTTTAAAACTTGGTGGTTGTGGTGGTGGGCATCACATTTCCTCCTAGGGTAGAAAGGACCATTGCAATAAATGGGACTTAAATTAGGCCCAGCAAATCCCATTCATTTCTGTCAGCCAGCTGTGGATTTTGTCACATCTTACCTTGTGCCACTGTCAACTTGCTGAAGCTAAGCAGATTGTAGACTGGTTGTTGCCCAGATAGACCATTTATGCTGCCTTGAATTAATTCCATAAAAGAGGTGCAGGAGATGGGATATTGCGGATTGTGCCCAGTGTTAATCTAACTTAAGACACATTAATTTAATAGGATCTACTCAATTGGGGCTAATATTGGATAAAATCCCTAAATATACTTAATGATAATGTTCCCCCATTCACACAAGCAAAGAAGTAAAGCCTTCTGTAGTTTTTATGCTCAAGTTAGTTAAAGAAGAGTGATAGGATGGATTTCCTTTCTCTTTTACTGCATGCCTAGGGAATTCAGATGAGAAGGACCCAGTTGGTTAAAAAAATAGCACCCAGCAAGGCAATTGATCACTTGTTTAAGTCCATCTGCCTTAGAGACGTGAAGGTATTTTAAGCATGTGATTGGAAGCTAGAGTTGCTTTGCACATGTTCCTAGGGCCATATGGCAAGTTTTTAAGCAGTTAGTGCACAACTCTCTGCTGTCTGCATTACTCCAGCTTTCCACCTCAGTCAGCACTAACCATTTTCTATGTTTACAACAGTTTTCTGTAAAATCCACTAGCCTTGCTCATGTGCAAACCACACTGAATGGCTTTAAAAAAAGTCTCTGCCCTTGTCTCGCTCTGCTCAATCTGGCAGGGATGTTGTGAGACTAACATTTGTCTCTGATCTCCAAAGAAGGGAGGGATAGAAATATAACCTGAGTTGGTGAAATACCTTCTTACTCTAAATTCTAATTTGAACCAAGTTCTTATTTGGCAACTGTGTTCAGATGTAAGGGGAAAATTAAAATTCTTGGGCACCAGTGTCAGATAGTTGGGTTCCTAAATGGACAAGAGTGCTTGATAAGTATTTGTGGCCTTGTCACTTCTAAGGATGAATTACAATTCTGTACTCCATAATTCATTCACATAAGGCAGGTTTGTAGTGGTGCGTCACTTTATAGTTTGGATTTTTTATTTTTTTTCTGGTTATCATGAAGAAATACAGACTGTAAAATAGCACATAAAGTTGTTCTGTGAATATGAGGCTTTTGATCGATTAGAACCCCTTCTTCCGTTGTCTGCCTGTGCTCAAAGACAGTTTATGAGCATGTTTATATAAATTGCTACATTATCCTTTTAAAATGGAAACAAGGCTCTGGCTCACCTGTGTATTGGTTTCTGTATGCATACAGCATGCGGAAAGTACATGCTATACAGGTACTTGGCACTTGAGGTTGCATCCAGTATTAATCCTACGTAGAGTAGATCCACTGGCCTAAATGAGATGGGATGCAAGTCTTCGTTTTCTCCACTATTGTATATAAAATCATAATAAGTAATCCCTCATGACTGTGAATAGGGAACTAGGTGATAGTAGTTACTCTGCTTTAATTAGCCAAAGTAGCAGGGTGGCTGCTGTGTGGGGCTGAGGAAGGCTCAGAACGGATGTTGCTGTAATGCTTTATTATAAATACGTGTTGACAGTACAGTAAAGAGTGGATGCAGTTTAGAATGCCTGTTCAATTAACGGGGATGTAGGCTGCAGTTTGTACTGTGGTTGTAGACAACCATCTGGGGACTGCTCAGCATTTCTCCTTTCTACAGTGTTTCTACAAGTCATGGAGGTCCAGATCTTCAAAAACTGGAGCTCTAAGAAGTAGTGGTCACCTTTTCATATTGAGATGGAAATATATGTGGAGCTTGGGTCAGCTGAGTTACAAATTTGAATTTGATGTGGTCAGTGTAAACTGAGATATGAAAAAAGGAAATGTCACTTAAGCTGCGATCGAAGACTTCAAGGGTAAGGGACCTCTTAGCTTGAGGGCCAAATTCAGTTTTGGAGAAGGGGTAGGAGGATGCATTCCATTGGAGGGTGGGGCCAGGGAGGAAAGGATGGGTCCAAGCCTAAGTAGGTAGGGCCAAAAATTCACACCCACTGTAGCCTAAAAATCTTTCTGCCTGTAACTCAGGCTTAGGAAAGGCATTTCAACCTTTCTTGAATGGAGAACACACTGCATAAAAGCCAGGACATTATTGTGACTGGGGAAAAGGAAAGGGGATGTTGCCATCTGAGGAACTCAGCAGGGCCAGATTCAGGCCCCGGGAGGCATGGACTTGGCCACTGGGCCTGGATTTTCCACCTCTGCTATACTAAGTTACATGGGAGTAAGTTTCACTGAATTCAGTAGGGCTTACTTTTGAGTAAACACATAGGACTGCACTGTTAGGACTTTTCTACATGAGGCTATTAATCTCTGTATCTACTTTTAGTTTCATTGCAGAACTGAGTTTGAGCTCCACTCAAAGAGCTTTTCCTTTTCTGCTTTTCTGTGACACAAGTTCTATGAAGAAATGTGCTGTAACCAAATAGTACAGTTAAACAAGTAGGTACATACCTGTTCTTTTGCTTTCAGAAATAATACCCCATTTTCCCTGCTTCAGAAAAATCTGGGAAAGTGTTGCCATTATAATTTTTTTATATAAATTTTATTAAAATTTTAAACTAATACTGAAAAACATCAAACATCACATACATCGGATTTACTGGGTCAACCCCCTACTACATATTTTTTAACATTCTATAGTCAAATTCAAATCAGTTTATAATAATTTGAAAAAATCTCTAAGTTTACGCCAAGTCCTGTTTCTCCAGCCAGTTATAGAAAAAATCCCAAGTTTGATAGAAGTCAGTGTCCTCTTTCTCCTTCAGTGATAAAGTCAATCTATCCATTTCTGCACAGACCAAGATCTTTCTTATAATCAATCCATCGGTGGGTAGCACCTCACTTTTCCAATATTGAGCAAATGCAATCCTCGCTGCTGTGATTATGTGTAAAATCAAATACATTTCCTGTCTGTTAATGTCTTCCGGTATGATGCCTAACAAGAAGACTTCAGGTTTAAAAGCAAAGGGTTTTTGTAATATTTCCTCCATCCATCTATGTATTTTAATCCAATACTTTTTTGCATTATCACAAGTCCACCACATATGATAAAAAGTACCCACTTTATGTTTACATTTCCAACATCTATTTGACATATTTGGAAACATCTTAGCTAATCAACTTGGTGACAAATACCATCTATAGAACATTTTATATAAATTTTCTTTATACGAAGTTGCTAATGTTACCTTAATATTTCTTTCCCATAGTTTTTGCCACTTTTCTAGTTCAACATTAAATCCGAAATTAACATTAAATCTGAAATTTTGTGCCCATGTTTTCCTGTCAAGTAAAAAATCATATAATCTTTTAATAATTTTCTCATCTGTTTTAAGCATCACTTGATCAAACTCTGTTAGGTCTTTGTGAAACCCCCATGCTTTACAATCTTTAGCATATCTCGATTGCATCTGCACCTTATACCACCAGGAAATATTAAGTCCCTGTTCTTGTATTTCTTGATCCAGTTTCAGGCCACCGTCCTTATCCAAAATACCGTCACATCTTATGATCTTTTCAAAGTTCAGTACATTTGGATATACAAAAACTTCCATAGGTGAAAGCCATCTTGGTAGTTTATTATACACTTTTAACTTTAGTTTTTCCCACACCGACATTAATGATCTTCTAATAAAATGACTCAGAAAAGACCCGTGCGACTTAGCTTTCTCGTACCACATATAAGCATGCCAACCCATCTGCAAGTCATGACCTTCAGCCATTATAATTTTTATTACTTTGCATTTGTACCTTGCATTTTTCCTCTTGTGAGAAATCCAAGGTAGCTTCCATAGCCCACCTCCTCTCTGTTCTGTCCTCACAACGATCTTGTGAGGTAGCTTATGCTCAGAGTCAGTGAATGGCCCAAAGTCACCCAGTGAGCCTCATGACCAAGTGGGACTAGAACCCAGACCAGCACTTTAACCACTACATCACACCTTTTTTTGTTTGTTTTATAAACAGAAGTGAAACTGGAAGGTCACATTTTGATCTAAAGAATCCATAAACAGGCATGCATAAGGATTGAGTGAGCAACATATGTGCCCTATTCTCCCAGTAACAATATTCCAGGATAACTTCCCCCTCTCTTCTTTTCATACACTCTGGAAAGCTGCATTGGGCCCACAGGGAGAGTTCATTAGGCACTGTCTGCAGGAGTAGGACAGAAGAGGAGCCCCGTTGCTCTGGAGGTTTCTTGGAAGCCCACAGAGAGGGCACAAAAGAATAGCCCTTGGTTGCTGTTGCTTCCCAGAAACTGGTATTCAGAGGCATACTGCTTCTGAGCAGGTGTTTTCACTTAGTTACATATTTGATAGATAATCCATGAATCTGTCTAACATCTAACCCAGTGGCCACCCACACGTTTTTGTAACAGTAAATTCCATAAGCTGTGCAATGAAAAACTTTCTTCTGTCTTTCCTTATGCTATGCTAATAGCCTCCCTTGGGTGACAAGTTCTGTTGTTTTAAAAGAAGAGGATCAAAACAAACGAAACAAAAAACTTGTCCGCTTTCTCTAAACCATGTATCTGTTGTATACCCCTCTTGTCATTTCTCCCCCCAAAACTGCAAGGCCTCAATTTCACTTTAGTTTTCCCTCGCATGGAAAGATCTCTAGTAATCCCGTTTGACTTTTTCTGTACCTTTTCTAATATGATT